GAGAGTAAAAAAAAGGGGCTGGGCAGTGGTGCACTTACGGACAGAGCAGAAAAAAAATATCAGAATTGAGAGAGGAAAGGTGCTGGTGCAGAATTTACAGACCAGCCGCACAAATTCGATCATCGCCGGAGATCCAGCCGTTGGATTGAGCTGAAATTTTCAGAGGTTGTTCCCAACACTTAGGGCTTCAATCTGTTCAATTTTCACATCAATCGGAGCTACGGATCTTCTGTAATCGCAGCTGGTGCGACGCTGCGTTTTTGGGTGATAATCCTGATTTTCCTTCTCTATTGTTGATGCCTCTTATGTATGTTGTTGTTGGTGGGCTGTGACATCCTTGTAGACTGAGTTTGGGTGTTTTTACCCTCAATTTGCATAATAAGAGAAGAAGAGGGCGGACTCCCTATAAGTCCCGTGGTTTTTATCCTTCACATCGAAGGGGTTTTCCACGTATAAAAATCGTGTGTCGTTTGCATCTTTGTTCTTCATATTTGGTTGTGGTTTATTTGATGTGTTGCTGATTTTATGTGCTTGGTTAATCAATAGTGGTGAATTGGGTTAAGTGTTTGGTTGGTTGTCTTGAAGTTGATCCTTGTAGGTGCATCCTACTTGTTGCTTCTCTCCCAACAATACACACAACAAAACATACATACATTATAAAACGAGGTCGGAAGCGTAAAAACACTATTTTTTTCTAAAGAAATTATTTTTCGAATGAGCTTACCAAAGACGCCATTCCACGGGGATCGGTTACAAAATCTGTGCTCCTCAAGAATATGTTGGCCAACGCTCCCTGCAGAAGTTAACATATCAAAAGGTTGGGATTTTTAGGATGGAATTGGCATGTTTGTAAATAATTGTTTATTATGACTTTCTACATACATTAATTAAAATCAAATAAATGTGGACGTAATGTATGTCCACGTTCATTCAAGTTTTTAGGGTACGCTGACCTGTACAGCAGCTCGGTAAAAGAGTTCCTCCCCGACGGAGCTTGCAGCGACAATCAGAATGAACTGTAGAGTGATATCGAACTCATCATCAATTAAGCTGCCTCGAAATATTATTATCTAAGAACCAACTTAACCAAAAAAACTCAATTTCATGGTATCGGAGAAGGTCCGGTCTATGTTAGAACTCTTGGTCTATTAGGTTGGCCGGCTACAAGGCAAGAAAAAAAATCAAACGTCAAGTCGTCAAGCGCAATTGCACTGAAAAAAACGTCAAGTTCCTTGGTCCCTCCTCCTATTGCCAATTGGTCTTAGATTGGAACCCCCATGGGTTTTATCTGTTTCGCCTATTGCGTAAGTGCGCACAAACCGGTGTGTGTCTCCTTGTGGTTGTGGCCCACGAAAGACTTTTTATATTTTAATACGCCCTCTCACGTGCATGGGTATTCTCTTCGTGACTAGCACGTGAAACCTTAATTTTTTTAAAACAGGGTAGTGCTAAGCCGCTATGTTTTGAACTCTTGACCTTTTAGTTAATAAGACTCTGATACCATGTCAAGGACCAATTCAACTAGAAGTTCAAGCTTGTAATTGTGACCCATGAAAAGTTTTTATATACTAACAGTTGAACCTAATTGTGGGCCCGTTTACAACGAGTCCATTAACTTAAAACCTAATACATATCTTAACACGTTGCAACTAAAAGCTCAAGTTTGTAGTTGAAAACACGAGAATGGTTTCAGGTGGTGCGCTATGCTAGTGAGATGACTTACTTGCCAAGGCGACATACCGCAGAAGAAGTTGCGTAGCTCCTCGTCTTCGACATCCCTAATGGCACGAGCGTGCGGCGACAACTTCACTACCTCGTCCTGTTTCAAAGACATTTCAGTCGGACCACACTAACGACAAACAAAAATCAAAATAATGGGAGAAAAGAAGATGAAACTAAAGTTGTTCGATATTACATCTAGTATTAAAAGAAGGGCCATGATGGGAGGAACAGCGTATCCCAATCCATTGAAAATGGCGTCTAACGTTGGTGTGAACCCACCGGTGCTGTCTGTTCCCGTCAATGAGCATATAAACCTCCCCGCCAAAGCCATTGCACCATATATGCCTGTGTTTAAGGGAATGATAACATTAAAAGTAGGCAATATGTTCATATATGCAGTTAGTTAAAAGATATCTCAAATTGAGTAAATATGAATGGGTATAAACCAATGTATACAAGTAAAGTCTTTGGTTTAAGGGCACATTTGGTTCTCATATCTTCGTATATCAGAACTCTTTTATTGGCACTAGGTGAAACATAAACATGATTCGAATTTGATATACTCCAATATCACAATCCTTTATGGTGCAAATCGGGGCCAGTAAGTGAGCTGAGTAGGCCCAAACGCATTATTTAAAGTGCGGTGTAATTAAAGAGCCGAGTTCATATCATGGACAAGCAAGTAAAGACCAGTGGGTCGAGGGAGATGCTAGTCAAGGGTCCGGCCCATTGGATCGAATCAAGGATATAAGTGGAGCGCAATCTCACTGATCGTGGGTAATTGACGACTAATTCCTCGTCCAAATTGACGCACATCAGGCTAATCATGCCAATAATGTCGCTTATAGCTAATGATCCGAGAACGAATACCATTTTTTCAAATTTCAAAACTCATATTGCATCAATCTTCTTTCGCTTACCAAACAAGCCTCATTCTTAACATATGTGTTGATAATAAATATATTGAGCCTAACTCACCCCAAAACAACTCTCAAGAGATGTGAGATTTACCCCTTATTTATTAAGGATTCCTTACTCATATTTAGTGCCATTTTGGAAACAATGTCAACATTCACATTTAGTGTTTTTCAAAATATATACTACCTAGCTAATAACTAGGTTCAATATTAGTATTTCAAAGTTCATCTACATCATTAAAAGATTATTTAAAAAATTAAATCTAATTAAAAATGAACTTAATTACCAAAGAAGGACATAACATAACTCAAACAATATGCAAAATGTACCAACTCTTCAGCCATGGAAATTTTGATTTTTTTTCTTTAGAATCTTATGAACCAAAGGGTTGTCCACTTTATTCTAATGTCAAAGTTTGCTTGATTAGATTTTTTATATGGGGTAAAAATAAATCAAATTCCCAATTTAACTAATAAAAATATAAAACTCACCGATTCCATAGCTGAGTCGGACGACGGCACCGATCTTCTCCCAGACGGGCAACTCAGCTTCCCGGAAGTTCTGACCCAGTGTGGTCACCTCCATAGCCGGTCCTCCGGCGAATGTTCCAGCACCGGCAGAGTTATCCATCTCCGCCGCCGCGCCGCCGTCCACCGCATCGCCGCCGCCGCTTGTCCTCTCCGTGGTCGCTCGAACCCTAACAACCGCGACACTTCCGATCCTCCTCCTCTTCGGGGGAAAACTAACCGCCGCCCAAACACGAGCGCCGGCGGAAATCGCCGGAGGCGGCGCCGGAGCTCGTAATGCCACCGGGAGCTCCATTCCGAGTCCGACCCGGAGCGGTGGTTCGGGAGCTAACTTCGGGGAAGGGAAGAGGTGGGTGAAATGACGCGTTTGACCTCGGCTCGGTGGTGGGCGTTTGTTCTCCGGCAAAAAAGCCAGAGCATTCTTGTAGTATATGTAAATCGAAGATTTGGGGAGGGAGAAAAGAGTCAACCGAGTTATAATTGACTGAGGTTTCCGTTTTCGGAGTTCGGTTGGATCCTACGTTGTTCAGGAACCAGTGGGCGGGATATCGCGGCGGCCAATCAGGGCTCGCCACTTGGAGATAAGGAGGATAAATCCTTGACATTAGAGATTAGGTATTCTTGGCCATTCTAATCCAAACATTTTACACCGTACGATGTTGTATTTGGTACTTTTTGATTATTTTGGGCATTGATGGCTATACTAGCAAATTACGGAGTATGACATTTTTGACTCTCCTTAATCCCGTGAATCCGTGATCAATATTTCCCACTGTCACGTCATCATTTTTATACTATTAATCATTTTTTGTAATAAAATTTATATAAATTTAATAAAAATATTTATCAGTTAATAAAAAAACTAAAAAATAAAATATATTAGCAATAAAGAATGAGTGTTGATAAATACACCCTTCTTTTTGCTATATCCATCTCGTCTTTTTAAAAAATGACAAACTTATTTTTGAAGTGTGAAAACAAAGAAAAACAACATGTGGGTTAACTTAAGGAGCAAATTGGAAATCTGCCATGAATGAAGTAGATATTACAAAAAGGTGAGTCGATTTAGCAACACACGTGAAGAATAATATAAAGTAATAATAATTGTTGAAATAAAAAATTAAATTGAAACTAAAAAGGTTGAAATTGAATAAATGAAATTGAAATTATAGAGTTCAAAATTTAAAATAAATACATCCAATTGAAAAAAAGAAATTAAAAAATTACAAACAGCCCCGGCGCGGCACTACAACGACACCCACTGTCACCCACACCCCAATCCCAAGCCTGGTGTCCGGCCCGTGCCATTGGGCGCTCTTCTGACCTCTAAAATTGACGCATGTTGTGCGCCAGACTTCTCCAAGTGGCGCTACAATTTTCTCCCCTTCCATTACAAATGCCCTTAACACCCTACACTTCACTTCTATCTTGTCAAATGCATCTCCCAATTTTAGTTGACATTTGGATTAATAATTCTTTTCAAAATATCAGTATAATAGATAGATCTAATTGTGGGCTGGGATAGAGACGAGATGGAGGTGGAACTGGGTTTGTAGAAAAATTAGGAATGAAAGAATTACTTTCAAGTCGAATAGAGTATCGTAGGGTGTTCAAATTGATCGAGTGTCATAATAGAATACAAAAATTTAGTGTAAAAATAACCCAGCTTCTTATTAATTGGATTAATCTTGTCCACAATTATCTCCTACACACTGTATTTTCTTGTGTATAGTTGCTTTATTTTTCAATGCAATTACTTTCTATAATTTGTACTCTCTCTTTTACTCTAATTCTCCCGAATTAATTGTAACACTACGAATTATACTGTAGTATTAATGAAATAGTTTTTGATAAATCGTCATTTCAATTTTCGTATAATTAAATAAACATTGAAACGACAGTACAGAAAATAAGTCATTTTTCAAACTTGTCTTTTTATGGAAAAATTTATACTCGAATTGAGAGTTTACGGTAATATTATATATCCAACTTTGTGTCATTGTGTAGGTCTCGGAAAAAGATGATCGACGATATATAATTTGTCAAATTTATATTTATGTATAAAAAAATTATGTGCAAAAATAGATGTTGCAGCAAAATAAATAAATAAAAAATTTTATAATATAATACGTAGTAATAATGATGTGGGTTTCTTTTGACAACAAGAGGTGTTGTCATAAGAGGTGTCGTTATGGTGTGCTCCATTCAAAAAATTGATGGTGCCACCCTTGTTCGCCATCATCAGTCTTCTCCTGCTCGTGCACGTGAGCTGCACGAGAGGGACTGAAGACCAAAAATGTTGATGGCCGTTTCCAGGAGAAGACCATAAAAAAGAACATTTGGGCAAATTTTCAATTAATTTATACTCCGTATAAAATTTTAAAAAGGGT